AAACAGAAGTCCATTGAGAATGCCAAGGTCATTGTGTTCGGGGGCTCGTATGCCGGTGCGTTGGCCGCTTGGTTCCGGGAGAAGTACCCGAAAACAGCTGCCGGTGCCATAGCGTCCAGCGGTCCTGTCGAGGCAGTCGTTGATTTCAAGGACTACTTGGGTGTCGTTAGTCAGTCGCTGGGAAAGGAGTGCTCCGACAGCATAAGGTATGATAGGGTGGCGCCGGTATCTAATCACTACAGCCTTGTCCTTAACACTGATGTTTGCCTATTGAAGGGAAGCCTCGAAGCAGTTGGAGGAGGATCTGAAGACTACTGCCGGCCGGGAAGAGCTCAAGAAACTGTTCAAACTGTGCGACTCCTTAGAGGGCGCCGACACCGATGACATACACAACTTTGTCGGGAGTCTGACGGATGCGGTCGAGGGTATTGTTCAGTATAACAGCAACATTACGGCCTTTTGTAAGCTGGTGACTGACCCGAGTGGTGGGGCCCGTGCTCTGGACAGGTATGCGAAGGCACAGGCAGGTCAACACGGAGGATGCATTAACTTTAAATACAAGAATTTGATTAGTTATATGAAACAAACGTCTAAACAGTCGCCGGCCGTCTCATCGGGAAGTATGTCATCCTTCGTATACTCTATGGACACATAATTTGACACAAATTGTGTACTAATTTCTAGTACATTATGAAATCATACAGAATCTGAAACTAAGATAAAAATATATTTTAATACAAAGTATAACTTATACTGTATTAAGCTTGATGCAAATTTTTAAATTATTCTAATTATTAGGAAACCTTTTGAGATTAGATTAGCGTTTTGATACATTTTGATTTATTAGTTAACTATTAGTTCAATTAACACTAATTTTACGCACATTTACATGCAGTGAGGCAATGGACGTATCAGACGTGCACTGAGTTTGGGTACTTCGCGACCACTAGTCTGAAGGACAGTCCGTTTGGGCACAACCTTCCGGTCGAGTTCTTCACGAAACAGTGCACCGATATATTCGGTCCGCAAATCACGGCACAAACCATACAGAAAGCGGTGGACACCACTAACTCCTACTACGGGGCCCGTCAGCCCAATGTGACAAACGTGGTCTTCCTTAACGGCTCACTGGATCCGTGGCACGCATTGAGTGTACTCCAGGACCTCAACAACAGCACCAAAGCCGTGCTGATCGAGGGGTACGCCCACTGCGGGGACATGTATTCCGCCAACCCGTCGGATCCCAAGAGCCTAAAGGATGCGCACGACTTGATTACCAAACAATTGGCAGAATATTTGAAATAATTTTGTTTTTAGAGATATTTGTGAACAGGGTACTCATGTAACTTTATGTATAATTTGACAATAAATTGCTAGATATTAAACTATCAATAAAATGTTGTATTCATACAGTTTCATGAATAATGATTCATTATATTCTAAAATTGTGTACTAATATAAGCCATAGAATTATTAGTATAATATTATAATTTATAATTAAATTATTTGTAGAAGTTAATTAGTTTAAGAATTAAAGTAAAAGCAAATTGATGTCTAGCATTGTATGTTAGTGTAAAAAATAGTGTTAACTTCTGTTAACAATTAAAGCATGTATTGGTTTTGAAATCAAATTTAAATAATTATAAAGTATTTTCAATGCAACAAGCTTTAAGTTTAATGTATTATATATAATATTAACTTATTTAAACTCATAGCTCTATACTAGTTAATAACTATTGTAAAATAAAATTTGCATCATTTTTCTAACATTGCAAATTTATATTTAATTCAATAATTAAGTGTTATGTGTATCAGGTTCAATTCCAAGAATTTATATCAGTGATTGTACTAATTATCAAAAATATTTTTTTTCTACCCTCCTGTCACATTAATGATAATGTATCATAATTATATTCTCATGTGATTTATACAAAGCTATTATTATTATTATCTAGCACACAAATATCTATTATTGCAAGAAAACTATTATTTTTATATAACAGTTGTACTTTTAAAATGTCATTTTTACCTTTCTTAAAATACAAATAATACAAAGTGTGCATTTTAAAAAGTTTTATATGTTAATCATTTATTTCGACAAACAGTGAGACAATGGACTTATCAGACGTGCACTGAATTCGGATACTTTATGTCAACCAATGCGAAGGACTGCCTGTTTGGCCACAACGTGCCCGTCCACTACTACACCCAACAGTGTATTGATGTGTTTGGGCCCCAAATCACAGCCCAAACCATACAGAAAGCGGTGGACACCACTAACTCCTACTACGGGGGTCGCCAGCCTAATGTGACAAACGTGGTATTCCCTAACGGCTCACTGGATCCATGGCACGCATTGAGTGTACTACAAGACCTAAACAACAGCACCAAAGCGGTGGTCATCTCAGGTACCGCCCATTGCACTGACATGGAGTACTCGGACAGAGAGACCCAAAGTCTCAAAGATGCCCACAATTTGATTACAAATGAATTGCAAGAATTTCTAAAATAATTGTATTGTTTGATAACATTATACTTAATAAACATATTTATTACGAGTAACTCACGAGTACTTCTTATTAGAGTCCAAATTTTTACCAATTTTTAAAACCCGAACCCTTAGTGTTTTTTTTATAGGGAAGCTCGACCCGCCCCTATTTCGGGAAACCCGTGGGAATCTAAAATACCCTTAAAATATAAAACTACAAAATTACGATTAAAAGTAACGTTTGATATAATTTTACCTGCTACTTTATTTTTAAAAATATTAATTTAAATTATGAACACATCGGTGACCCTGATAATAAAACATTTTAAACTAAATTAAATATTAATTAAATTAGTTTAACTTTATATGCTAATTGAATGACATTACTTAAACATTTATATAATAAATGTAATTTCAATCTTAATTAGGCGTTAATTAATATTTATTAGCCATAAGGGTATAAATAATTTGTATAATAAACATAAAAATGATTAGTTTTTAAAAACACATAATGTTGGACGTGATGGACACAAATGGGAGGACAGCCATAGCATGGATTGATTTGTCGCTGAAGATTAGGACCGGATTTACGGCAAATGAGACACAAGTGTCGAACGGATTAAATGGTTGCGCAAAGTTTGGCGAAATGATGGCAATTATGGGTCCGTCCGGTGCGGGACTCACAGCCCTATTGAGGTGTTTGAATGGTATGAATAATCGCGGCTTAAGTCCAGACTCGCAGATCCGGTTGTAACTTTATGTATAATTTGACAATAAATTGCTAGATATTAAACTATCAATAAAATGTTGTATTCATACAGTTTCATGAATAATGATTCATTATATTCTAAAATTGTGTACTAATATAAGCCATAGACTTATTAGTATAATATTATAATTTATAATTAAATTATTTGTAGAAGTTAATTAGTTTAAGCATTAAAGTAAAAGTGAATGTGTCGACCATTATGTCTGATCTGATGATTGCGGACATTATGGATACGAGGGTTGAGATGTGCAGCGGAGGCGAACAGAAACGACTGGCCATTGCTGTCAAGTTAACGGGTCTTAAGAAACCAAACCTTATTTTACGCGACGAACCGACCACTGGTTTGGACAGTAATATCGCTCAAGTGGTCAGTAGTCTATGAATTAATTATACAATTATATATCAATTATTTGTAAAATTAATTGTATAGGTTTTGCAATCCCTGAAAGGGTTGTCCCAAAAGCACAACATCTCACTCGTGGTGTCCATACATCAGCCAAATTGAGATATTCTGCAAATGTTTGATAAATTGTATGTTTTGGCTAAAAGTGGTTATTGTGTGTATTGGGGAACACCTACCGGACTGACCCGACACTTATCGGAGTGTCACCTCATTTGTACCGCAAATCAGGTTCCCATTGAGACTTTGATCACAATCTCGTCGAAAGGTATTAACGAACAAAAAGTATGCGAATTAAGGGATCAAACGAAACGACAATTTAAGGACTGTTTGGATAGTATTGTGAGTCAAACGAAACCACAACTCATTGAACACAAAAACAAATGGTTTGCATTGAAAGACGTGTGGATTCTGATGATGAGATCTCTTATGGAAATCTATTCATACAAATGGAAACTATTATTAATATATCTGTTGACTATGTGTTTGGCGCCGGTATTGACAGCCATATCATTTGATTGTTTGATAAATTGTATGTTTTGGCCAAAAGGGGTTACTGTGTGTATTGGGGAACACCTACCGGACTGATCCGACACTTATCGGAGTGTCACCTCATTTGTACCGCAAATCAGGTTCCGATCGAGACTTTGATCACAATCTCGTCGAAAGGTATTAACGAACAAAAAGTATGCGAATTAAGGGATCAAACGAAACGACAATTTAAGGACTGTTTGGATACTATTGTGAGTCAAACGAAACCACAACTCATTGAACACAAAAACAAATGATTTTCATTGAAAGACGTGTGGATTCTGATGATGAGATCTCTTATGGAAATCTATTCATACAAATGGAAACTATTATTAATATATCTGTTGACTATGTGTTTGGCGCCGGTATTGACAGCCATATCATTTGACGCCGACATCGGTGAATACAGCTGTTGTTTCACGTATGGCGTGATGGACATGAGGTCGTGTGTGGATCAGTTGATGACAGATAATAAACTCTTGACAAACGGATCTTTACTATTTTCAAGTGTTTTCTTCCTAATAACCACTCAAACGATGTTTTCTATTCAATTCCGGTTTGAATCTAACCACCGATTCCGTGCTGAACACCAAAACAGTTGAGTGCAGAATATTCTGTTGTTTAATGCATTGAAAAGTTAGATTGAAATCAATATTATTTACTGTTATGATATACAGAGTATTGCATTGTAATAGGTATCCGATTCTGTGCTGAACACCAAAACAGTTGAGTGCAGAATATTCTGTTGTTTAATGCATTGAAAAGTTAGATTGAAATCAATATTATTTACTGTTATGATATACAGAGTATTGCATTGTAATAGGTAGCGAGTAAATATTGGATGTCTATAACATTAAATATGAAATATGATAACCAATGATAATGTATAATTTTATTATTATTATTTTAATATAGACTGGTACTCGACTGGCGCGTACCTATTGACCCATAATTTATTAGACATGATTCCCCTAACAATCTCCAGTGGTATATACAGTGTCATAATCTTCACAATGAGTTCACAGCTGAATGAACCCAAAAGGATCTGGGTTTTCATTGGTCTCAACGTAATTCTGGTTCACATTTACGATACGATAGCATTTATCTTGGTAATCCTGATGAATAACAAGCAGCTTTGTTTTGTCGCAGGATTTTTACTAAACCAAATCTATGGCTTATTTACCGGTTTTGTAATATTTGTAGAAGATCTTGGTGATATTATAGAAGTGTTCAGCGCTATATCGCCGTTAAGATATTATTCAACCGCCACTTTAATAAATATTTATGGTTAAATCGTTGCACCGGTGGTCAGAAACAGTTAATACTATTCATGAGGCATATCGATGATGACGATATTCTGTACGAATATTCCGGATACCTTTTAGCACAATATATATCATATAAATTGGTGACAATAATAACATTACTAGTTATTAACAATCCAAATGTATTTTACATTGCAATGAATTACACAAAATTGTTAATATATAAGCGAAAAACGGATAAACAGATCAATCATAATGTGTTTGAAATGCAAACAATGGATGAGTTGACCGGATGTTCAAGTTATATATGCTATGATAACATTGATTACGACATTAGTCTCAACGATGAAGTACTTGATGAAGGGTTGAGTCCAGACACGGATGCTATAATTACGGGACAGTTGTGTGTGGCATGGATTGACTTAACACTAAAAGTGAATAAAACTTTCTTTTCATCGGAAAAATTAATTCTTAGAGACATTAATGGTTTCACGAGTTTTGGGACAATGACGGCACTGTTAGGTCCGTCCGGTGCCGGAAAGACATCTCTGTTGAAAGCGTTGAACGGAATGAATAAGAATTTAATAACAAATAAATCAAAGATATATTTAAATAATAACACAAGAATTAGGGGTTGTTTTATATCACAAGACCATAGGGAACACCTAATATATGGGTTGACAGTTAGACAAGCACTTAGTTATGCCTCAAAACTGAAAAATATATGCATTAGAGGTGTGGACCACGAGGTGATAGTATGGGAGTTGATGTCAGAGTTATCATTAACGGACATATCGTCCAGAAATGTGGAAAAGTGTAGTTCCGGTCAACAGAAGCGAGTAGTTATGGCTCAGGAATTGACGGCACAATTGAAACCAAATGTGAATCATTACTTATGATTGCGAAAGTGTGTACTTACTTGTTAATGAGATAATCTAATAAACCATGTTTAAAATTCGCATACACTTAAAATACATACTGTATAAACATTGTAGTGGGTATGGGGTATGACATTCAATGTCACCCATACCCTCGCGAACATTGCAGGTGTTGTGACTACTAATACGCTAATCAATCGATACAATTGCTTAACTCATAGGAAATAATTTTTAAACAATTGCTTAAAACAAGATAATTTTCAGATGTATATCTCATTGGACACAAAAGTTTATAAAACGAGTTAACATTTTAGAAATATATTCATTTGAAAATATTTTTACGTAAAAATATTCTCATAAAGATGAATTCTTATATTCTTATATGTGTTGTATTTATTAATTTTTTATACAATAGTGAGGCTTATAATGGGCGACAATTTTTCAGGGGTCGACCCGTAGACAAGTACGGAATGGTCAGACCTCCAGTTCCCGTCGATGGACAGTTTTTTAAAAGCGCCGTATCGGGTATCTATAAACAAAAAGTCAACCATGCTGATCCCAAAGACAACAGCACTTTTGACCAGGTATAATTGCTATTTAAATATAATTTATTTTGCTGCACATATTTAAACTAATTGTCCTAAAATTATATGATTATTAATTAACTTAACTTAAATTCAATATTAAACTAAATACTTAACTAAACTTAAATACCAATTCTATATTCTATACCTATTATATAATAGTATTCTATGAGTAATTAAACACCAATGATTAAATAAATCTTGCACGAGTACTATCATATCCATAGTAAGTGGACCAAAGTTACCTATCAACTCAAGTTTCAATAAGACCAAGATACATTAGTGGAAAAAATATTGAAAAGTGATTTTAAAAGCAGAGCTAAATGCTGTTGAATTGTTTACACAAATTCTTACACTTAATCACAACATAATGAGCCAATTCTGGGCCCAATTAGGTGTACTTCACGAGCGACGCCCACTACAAAGCGGGTGGTCCCGTATTTTTCATGTTTGGCGGCGAGGGGGCAGCCAGCTCATTTTTTTTGACCAGCAGTAATATGGCGGACAACGCCAAGAAGTACGGCGCTCTACTCGTCGAGTTGGAGCACCGGTTCTACGGGGAGTCCCAACCCTTCGCGGAGCTAACCGTCGATAACCTGAAACACCTGAACAGCGAACAGGCCCTCAAAGACGCTGACGAATTCATACAGTATTTGCTGAAACAAAAGTCCATTGAGAATGCCAAGGTCATTGTGTTCGGGGGCTCGTATGCCGGTGCGTTGGCCGCTTGGTTCCGGGAGAAGTACCCGAAAACAGCTGCCGGTGCCATAGCGTCCAGCGGTCCCGTCGAGGCAGTCGTCGATTTCAAGGACTACTTGGGAGTCGTTAGTCAGTCGCTGGGAAAGGAGTGCTCCGACAGCATAAGGTATGATAGGGTGGCGCCGGTATCTAATCACTACAGCCTTGTCCTTAACACTGATGTTTGCCTATTGAAGGGAAGCCT